GTTAATACTTAACATTTATTCGCGATAACAAAGATAATCGCTTTTAAAAGTATAATATCAGTAATTTCATGCTATAATTTTCGCACTATTTTAAAGAATGATAAGAAATAGTATTCCTTTATAAGGGAGTTTATAAGTCAAATTTACAAAAAAATATTTCAATCGCCAATTGGTTCTGCTCGAAGTGCAGAAACATCACTTAACAGAGAAAAACTTAGCAGTTTTAAACTATAAGTATAAAATACGTTGCGTTTGACGTACTGTGACCATGAAGGCTGTTTACGTACTTTTAATGTTGGCCCTTGTTGGAATCGTTTATGCAAAAGCTGTATGTATACATTAATATATCGTAAGAGTATACCACTGGTTAATACATAATAATTTCGAAAGAATTTTATTTTTAGAAGCATTTAATTGAACCGTCAATGAAAATAAGTTAATAGTCATCATGTCTAATAAGACACTTCTTTCCTTGTAAACCCAGACGAGGGATGCTCTATTTATAATTTCTTGGACGAAGACCGAACACACTCGCAAACAATCTCCTACACTGCTGTGTCTGAGGAAAATTTCTTACCTTTCAAATTCTTCTTCAAATGTTGAAAGATGTACAAATCGCACGGCGACAAAGGGCTGTAGACAGGATGCTCCACTATTTCCCATCGGAACTGTGTCGCTATGCGATTTCCACTTCTTTAGAAATTTAACTGTACCCTGATTCTGTAACTTTTAACGATATTGTCGGTATCATTATTATATTGTCGTTATGCAGATATTATACATGGTAAAATAGCTGCGCATCAACATGACCATAACAAACTATCGTTAAGAATTACAGAATCGGAGATACTTAAGAAGAATTTGGAAGACTGAAAATTTTCATCGGATGTAGGCAGCAGTGTAGGTAACGATTTGTGAGTAGAATTGATCTCAGCCTAAAAAATTTTATGAACGGGACATCCGTTTTCTAATTTTACAAAGAAAAAAATGCCATTCACAACTACGGTGTTTATTAACATATTATAGTTAATAATTTAATATCTGAATTTTTCATTCGCTACGTTTTATTCGACTACCCCTATTATAAATAGTTTTCATTATTACATTGTACCAATCAACTTGTCAAAAGAAAATAATGTCAGTAAATGTAAAAATCGTCTATAAATATAAAAGCTTCAATAAATAATAAGAAAATAAATATTTTAGCAGAATTATTATTCTTATTTATTTGGAGGATATATCTTTAGGATATAATACGTATATCAATTCATTTTACACTATCAAAAATCAAATTCTTCTGAATAAAATTTATAATACAACATAATATGTATAGTAAAATACAGGATTGGCAAGTAACGCGTTACTTGTAACATCGTTATCATTACAAGTTACTTTTTTCGATAACGAATTGATAACGACATTACATTTTCTTTTGAGTAACATTCATTGTAATGCGGTTACATTTTTGGTAACGATATCACTAGTTACTTTTATCGTTACTTTATTTCTAGCCACATAGAAGTTTTAGTCGTAACTAGACTGTATTATACATATATATAAAAACGCTATCATATACAGATTTTTGCGGGAAATATTATGAAGAGAAATCAGAATTCTATCTTTTAGTAGAGGAGTAAAGCTCAAATATTGATAAATATATATATACATATATATATATATATATTTATCAGTTTTTGAGGTTTACTCTACTAAAAGATAGAATTCTGATTTCTCACTGATAGAACTAGTGCGCTCTTTAAAACCATTGTACATAAATCGATATAAAGATGTATGTTTAATAAAAATACAGAAACGAGTTAAACCGCGAAAACCTCAATACATTTTGTTATACAATTTAATAAAATATAATTTAGGCATTTTATCAATTGAGATATCTCATTTTTATATTCAAATTAGAGCAGAATACAATTGCTTTAATGTGCACTGCGTTTTGTCAATGAGAAATGCTATATTTTATTAGCATCAAGAAAAAAAAGTAACGACTCGTGACTGACAGTAACGGTAACGAGTTACTTTTGCAAATCAATAGCGAGTAACAAGTTACTTTTTAAGAAAAAAAAACGGTAACAGTAACGATTTCATTTTTATGAGGTAACGTTGCCCCAATTCTGATATATTATATTCTAAATAACGTTCTAAAAAAACATTTGACTTTGTAAAAAATGTTGAATAATTACAATAATAAATTGGGAACTTATAATTACAGTAAAAAATATAACACTAAGATAGTAGAAGATATTTTAGGAATGTTTAAAGCGGCGTCTACAATGGGATTTTAAGATACTTTTAAGATACATTACGTAAAACTTAAACTTAAGCCCTAAGCCGCAAGAAATTGCCAATCATAGCCGATTATTTTCCTCATATTTGATCGTGATTGGTCAATTTCTTATGGTTTAGGGCTTAAAACTTAAGATTTACGCCTAAAAATCCATTGTAGATGCCATTGTAGATGCCACTTAAAGGGATCCTAAAATCGTCTGTTTTATCAATTAATCACAATAATTTTTATATAACAAATATTTTTTCCTTCTTTCACAAATTCGAAAATTCTTTAATTTCCAGGATTAAAGTAAACACATTAATACGTGTCTCTATAGTTTAAGTTGCGAACGAAAAAAATTATTTAAGTTGAGATCTTCTTTACGGTTTCTTAGTTCAATATGGTTATATGGTTATTAATGAAGTTGTCAGTATTGTAACATTTGCTTAATATAAAAACTTTACTATCTGCACTTACGAAATCCACTAATTAGTAGTTCATATGAACAAACAATTAACGTGGAATTCTTTGAATTAAACTTGGCCTTCTGATTAAAACGCTATTATACGAAAATTTATATATATGTGTGCGTGGGACATTGATGTAATAGTATATAAAAATATGTCGATGTCATCAGTAAAACAGCGATCTTGTCGTAGTTCGGGCTTCACACTTTAGGATTACTTTGATTTACAGATTAGACAAAAATGTTAGATCAGAGCTTATTTATTAGAGAGTTTATTATTTATTTAACAAATTTGATAAATTTTGTGCTAGAAATTGTCAACTAAATTAACTATTAATTAACTTTCTTTTGTTCAGTCTTCTACTCTTTTTTTTCTTTTTAATTAGACTCCTGATCGAGCGAAAGAACCATCTCATCCAAAGCATCCTCCTGAACACTCTGGTGAACACTCTGATGAAGATGATGACGAACACTCTGGTGAACATGGTGGTGGACACGATGGTGGACACGATGGTGGACATGATGGTGGACACAATGGTGATAACGGTGATAATGGTGATAACGGTGACAACGGTAATAACGGTGATAACGGCGATAACGGCGATCATGGTGATAATGGCGGTCATGGTGGTTTAGGATTAATAGAACATGTTTTGGTAAGATTATGTAAAAATAAATTACACAAGAAGAGATTATATTTATTATTAAAATGCAAGTATTCTAAAAAGAGATAGAAAAATATATATTAATGAAAACGTTATTATTGATCAGTTTATACGGCAAAAATTAATTATATTTAAGCTAATCCATGACTGATCTATTAATAAAGGTTTATAACATAATAAAATTTTAGAATTTTAAACAATCTTAATAATTATGAAATTATATCTATCATTTATTAAAATTAATATTTTGAACATTATGAAAATATGTAAATAAATAAGATTGTCTAATTTATGTCAATATATGCTTATAATAGAATATATACTAATAAAATTAAATAAAAACTATTTATTATTACTGTTTTTATGTACAAAAGACTTCTTTAAATGTTACAGCAACTTGTGTGCAGTTTACTGGGACCATTACTATGTAGTCTAGGTCTAGGTGGTCTTTGCCTGAAGTTTAAATGAAAGAAAAAATTAAATACACACCATGTAAGTTATGAATCTTTAAGTAAGTTATGATCTTTGAATGTTAAATGTTGCATTATGAAAGATCTCTAGCAATAATTTAATAATTTTCAGAATTTCGTATATAGATGAGTTTATTTTTTACAGAAAGGATACCTCCTATTATCGACATCGTAAAGACACTCTTATGAAATATATCGAATATTATTTATCGAATAATATACTTATTATTATTATTATTATATTTAACTCGAATGCACTGTATCTCTTTTAAACACGTTTAATTTTAAAGTCAACAACAAGTATTGCATATGTTTTGCACTTCTAATAAATAAATAATTTATTGGGCAACTGGATTATGCTGTGAATTTTTTCTCAAATATTCCATAAATTGTTTGTAAATAAGGGGAGAGTATCATAAAATAAATAATTTAAAAAAAGCACAAAATATTATATATACAAACTGCAATTATTATTAATTTTAAAATGTAATCGCTCGGTTTTAACAAATACATTCGTGAGCTTTATTCTTTAATACATTATAAAGACGACATAAAATATGTGCATTAATATTATAACTAATAATGACTACGTTGTTATTAAATTAGAGTCCTTTTTCCATTGATAGGATAACTGTCCCAATTACTGTGTATTAGCCCGTCCCTATTAGTGTGCTTTTGTATTTCGATAAGTCGTAAAGAAAACTAGCACGAATAAATAAGAAAAAATATTTTTTCTTGTTAAGTTAAATTGTTAATGCATACGATACCGAAGATAAAATTTTATTTTTTGACTATTAAAGTACTTTAAATGTTTTTCAAAAGATATGAGGAATTTATGTGAATCCAATAATACGTACTGCAAGATTTTAAGCTTGTCCCTATTAATGTGCCCTGTATTGGAGTTGAAAACGTTGTGTTATAAGTGTACATTGAAATAAATATAATTGAAATAATGATTTATGTAATATTAACCTAAACAATTAGCTTAATTTATTACCTGTTTTAGTAACTATACGTTAAAATGAATCAAATATAGATAGGCACACAAATTGGGGGCACATTAATAGGACCATCGTCGCTTGGAGGACTCACTAATAGGGACAAAAACATGTTTTTTATTTTTGTCGAAAACATTATAAAGTATTAACATTTTTTAAATTAAAGAAATATTAGAGAAAAAGAAAGTTGAAAAACCGATATTGATTGCAAGCAGATAAAATTAAAGCTACAATATTTAATAATTAATTCAGTAATAAGCAAGTTGGCTAAAAGGCACATTAATAGGGACAGTTACACTATCTTTTAAAAAATATCTTCTGAAGATTTTTTAGCACACGTGTTGTCTAGAATAATTGTTCTTATATGTATGAGTGCCAAGAGATAAACCTCTTCTGCTTGTTCAAATCGCTATTTGAATTTTAAACAAGAACAACAGAAAAATAAGCGCGCTTATTGTCATCGGACGAGGACCAAAATGAAGACAGAGAATGCTAATGCAACAATAACGAGATGGCAACATCGGAGAATTCCGCGTTAGACGTGAACAAGATCACCAACGCGAGATGCTAGGAGTGGCAATTAAAAATGTCGTTTTATAGTCAAAGATATATTTATAAGATTATGTGTATTGAAAAAAAGTATAAAAATTATTTTGAATTTACGTGCACATTGATGTACACATGTATATATACGTACAGTTCGCGCAATTAATGTCTTCCAACCCTGTTTTGTTATTACGTGTTACTTTCTCGGTTATTTTTGCGTTCATGGGCAAAATACGCGAGTTTCTCCAATTTCTATAGATTTGTTCAATCCGTTCGACTACGGCCGTGAACGTGAAAACGACCAATGAAAGTAAACGCGATACATCACCATGGTAGATGTGGTGTCATAGATTTGGAAGGCATTAATTACGTGAACTGTACAAGAGCATCGAAACACGGTAAATGGGGTATGCAAAGCAGGGCGCGCCATTTTTTTTAAGGGCGCTTAATCATCCCGAAATTTAAATACATTTTTTTAATAAATTGCAAAATACGTAAAAGTCATGAGTAGGGTAGCTACACCGGTTCTAACCCAGGGGCAAGGAGGAGGGTGAGGGGCGGGGGGTACCCGCGGCGAGGAGGGATGACGTTACAGGGGGAGGGAATGACGTCACGGAATGAGGGAGATGACGTCACAGGATGAGGGGGGCTGACGTCACGGAGGGGAGGGAGTGGTATGAAGTCACAGAGGCGACATCACAGGGTGAGGCTGCTGACGTCACGGAAGGGAGGGAAGGGTACGACGTCACAGGGGAGACGTCACAGGGTGAGGGGATGACGTCACGGGGTGAGGGGATGACGTTACAAGCAGTAACGTCACAGGGTGAGGGGGATGGTGTTATGGCGTGAGGGGATGACGTCACATGATGAGAGGATAACGTCGAGGGGAGGAGAATTATAGGGTGTGCGAGGATAACGTCGCGGGAAATACGCGCGGGGAGAGGAGAGAATTACGGGGCCCGCAGAGGCGTGGTATACCTTCATCGCGGCACGTTATCGGATAACGCTGGGTCAGTATCCGCAGGGCGTGGTCCCTCCGACCGCGGTTCGCCATCGCGCGCGAGCCGTCGCCACCGCCGCCGCTGCCTCCGGGCATGGTCCGCCGCCGGTCCCTACCGCAGCCTCCGAGCGCGGTCCCCATCGCGCGCTATACTTTTCATGTATACTTACCATCTCTCTCGCTCTTATGCATCTTTTTCCAACGCAGCTTTATTTTCTTCTCGAACGCAGCTTCTCGCACGCAAAGATATTTATGTATATTATATGTATGGTTTATAGCAATAATTTGAAATATTTACCATATTTTAATACCAGTTTTATATTCTATTTTTAATAAGAGTGCGGTGATTGATGCTCTCGCATGCAATCATGCTGTCAACGCGTAACATGATACCGCAGAGATAAGGAAGGAAGGAACAATTAATTGCAAACTTTGGGATATATAATTTACATATGCATTTATTTTTCATGCAATGCATTATATACAATATTATCTACAGCGTAAACTATCAATTCACATGCAATAGCAGAATGCTTATCATAAATCCTACGTAAAGTGTTTACTGCTTCCAATTTGTTCATAATACAGTTCTGACGTAAATAACTTACAAAATAGTCAAATTTATCGCTTACAATGTTTGTATATTGACATAAATCAAAATATGCGTGCTCAACACATTGTTCGAGTTTGAGCATGAAAAGTATAGTCGATGGTATTTCATATACACACACTTGTCACATAAAGATAATTTCACATTGTTCACATCACGTATTTTAACAAGTTCAATGAGGTGACAAGGTCCTGGATCATCAACGGTGACGGAGTAGATGACCGCACCAATTACTGGATGTTCGCCCGTTTTTCGACAAACGCCATCCACGTAGCGTGAAGCAGGACGATACGGTTGCCTCGAGTATCGCCAATTGCAATTTCCACTTGAGACATTGGTCCCGCGGCGATCCCAATCTTCAGAAATTTGTACGCTGTCGGTGTCAGCGCAAATACCTTCCTCAAAATGTTATGTGCACTATAGGAAACATACGAATAAACAATATAGAAAAAATTTTTTCCGCATATAAATGAAATACTTACGGTCGAACATATGAGTCCATGTCTTCAGAGCAACTGATGCAGTAACGTCCTCCTCAAATTCTTTTATAAAGTTTCCCCTACCATAGCACTTCGAGGATGGATGTTGAATTTATGTATCAATTTCAAAGAATGGTTTATATGAAATTACTTGAGAATCTTTAATCACACACCTGCGAGGTGTATAATAAGTCCGACAGAAACGATTAGTCCGTGTACACGAGAATAGTTTCTATTTAGCGTCATCACTTTTAGAGAATGGTTCATTTGAAATTATTTGAGAGTCTTTAATCACACACCTGCGAGGTGTATAATAGGTCCGACGGAAACAATTAGCCAATGTGCAATACTACGAAAAAATATCACCAAATATTTCCGCACAACATGTAAAAAACGCTGATCTTGTACATTGACTGTCTAATTCATCATAGTCGTAAACTACACATATTTGAAGTGTTGAATGTTTAGCACACCAAGTATTAGTGTGTGTTAAAACATTGCGGAAACCGAGTTCCCGATTGCGAATCAAATGCGGGAGCGATGAGCAATTACGGTTAGCCATGTTTGCACAGACTGACTTTGCGCGATCCCCGTCAGTAGTTATATTTTCGTTCCCACTCAACAATAGTAAAAATGCAATGTTTGTGAAAACATGTCACAACATGTTTCGCGATAACATCATGAATTTAACACGTGCAAAAGCGCACTTACAATAAAAGACACATCCGGGGATGACTTCAATGTAATCTAATACAGCAAAAATGCAACGTTTGCAAATATTCAACTGCTTTGTCAATGTAATATAAGAAATTTTTTCAAGGACATTAACATATTCGGCGATGACATCATCAATTTAACACCTGCAAAAATGCAACATTTGCAAATATACAACTGCTATGTCAGCGTAATATAAGAAATTTTTTCAAGGACATATTCGGGGATGACATCATCAATTTAACACCTACAAAAACGCAACATTTGCAAATATACAATTGCGTAATTTAATATTTTTTCAGGAGCACTCTGATATCATTAATAAAAATAGCTCGCATAACGATATAAAAATGATAAGATTTAGACACATCGCGTCATTAGTCAATCTAACAGCACAAGTGACAACATGGAGCGTGATTTGATTGAGCAAGCTACCCTGCTTAATACAAGAGAAGAATACGCGTGGGAACAACATTGCGATAAATTTATAGAATCTCTGGAGGAGCAGAGCCGTATCAAACGTCCGCGATTATCGATTGGTAATAGACAATCAGTGATCGCATGTATCGCGCGGTTTGAAAGCTTGAAGGATTTGGTGCGTGGACGATTCGTGAAAGTAGGCGCCGGATATGGACTTCGATGGCGCGAGATCGAAACGGCGTTCGAAAGCCGTATTCTGACGGGTGCAGTAATAAACTCCAATTACATCCAAGTACATCAAGCCTCGGCGATTTCTCGAAGACGCGAGTGAAATTGTGTTCGAGCGTGTACAGTGTATCATGCAGAGATATGACTCTATAAAAATAAACACTGTTTTCAATGGCGAGTTCGTGGCTGGTGACAAACGTACGAACAAGAACATCGCCATCCGGAACATTGAAGTTTTTCGATGTACCGATTTGCGTGAGTGGTACGTGACGCGCGTCGAGCCTATCCTGGCATCGTTGGAAGAGTTTCAGGAACGC